TGTGGATTTCATGAAGAGTTTAAATTTCATCTGGTATAACCACACATTCGGGTGTATAGGAATCGTGAACAGAGTATCCTCTAGACGATGGTTAGATGGTACATATGCCTTATCTTATCAAATTTGAATTTTAGGGGTTTATATTTTGCTGGACAGCATGTATGTTTTTTGAAAAAAAAGAAGAAATTTCGGAGATTATGGCAATTTAACACGTAATGATGAATTAACATATGGACAAGCCATGTTTTATATCATTTTTCTTGACTAAAATTCATATTAATTCTAATAAGTTTGTAAACATGTTTTTTTAGTTATTAAATAAATAGAAATTGAACAGGTCTGGACGATTTCTAAAAAAGGATGTCAAGAACGATAACCACGAATTGCTATTAATACACAGAATAAACAAGGCACTAATCCTTCTGACCAATCAGATAACAGCATTTAGACAAACCCATGAGAAAATAAATAAAACACGTGGTTTTAAGTTTTTTGCTCAAAAGATTTTTTGAGAACAAACTTTTTGTAAACTTTATGCGCATTTGGGAATAATATCATATTTATGACAATTCTACCGTGAACAAACACGACTTGAAAGCTTAGAATACGTTTTAAGTGGGATAAAAAAAAAATCTGTCTCTGGGAGGTAGCAATCCCAAAAGTTTAACTTACGTTAAAAATTTGATATAAATAACGTAATTTTTCAGTTTTTAGAGCCTGACATAAAATCTTATCGAAAAGATATCAGTCTTTATTATTTTTGAGTGTTTATTACAGAATAGTCCATGCAGTTTCTGATATGTGAGGTTAAGATATTGGGATAAAATGCATTCATGTATAACTACAGGATTCTCTTTTCTCCACGTTATACGCCTTTCCTTATGACTATTTAAAGTCTACATAGCCAAGTTTTCGGCGCTCATGAAACCCGTGATAATTCAAAACTATATGTGTAAGTCCATACGATAAACACTTGTGTGAGTTGATCTATACACATGGAATTTAAGCATTATTGATGAAAATCGGACGGCTAAGCAAAATTATATTTACCATCACATAATATGTTCTGGTAAATGTTATAACTGAACTTTATAGAAACTTGCCGGTGCGATTTTCACCTCTGTAAACGATTACATTCTATCGCGCATTATTTTTTTTTCTTTACCGAGATAAAAATGTCAAGATTGTTCACGGTAAAAATGCGGGAAATACCTTATTCTTCAAAAGTTTTCATCTTACTTCTACAGATTTTTTGTTAAAAAAATCTTTTTGAGGAAAAAAAACAAAAGCACGTGTTATCTTTTTGTTCTTTTAAAATATGTTTTGGGGTGTGTAAAAATGCTGTTCTCTGACTGGACAGAAAAATAATCACGTGTACTTGATGTACATTTATAGCAACTTTCGGTTATCGATCTTGACTTCCATATTTGGAAATCGTCCAGACCTGTTGAATAAATTGACAAACAATTCACGTTTTAAAAAAGGATACATATAGGACACTCTTGTCGTCTCGAAGTGATACAATGTACGTTCCATTTACAATATCGTATGTTGTGTTATACTCGGTGATTTATCGGTGTTAAGTGAATTTGAAACAGAACATCTGGGACAAAAATGGCGTTTTATTTTTAACGGAAGTACGCCATGTTGTGACGTCGTAGAGAGGCCGCTTAAAAAATCAAAGCAAGATTGAATATCTTGAAGCATTCGTATTATTACTACATTTTGTGCTTAATTATCACTTTGTGTCAGGAGGGACACAGTCTGACACACGGACAAAGCTTGACTCCATAAAGTCTTTGATCTACAGTATTGCTAAGGCTACAGTTACACTAGACTCTACAGCTGAACTGGTCAAACTCCAACATCAGGTATATCTTAAATACAACAGTGATTTTAGTGAAATAATGATTTGAAGATCTGATATGAATAGTTTATATGTGTTCCATTGGCAAATACAATTGTTATTATGATTGCACTTTCTAAGGAAAGTTCGGGTATATTGTTGTTACTCATGTCCGTCCGTCCGTCTGTCACACTTTTCTTCCCTGAACTCCTCCTACATTTTTTGGGATATTGGGAAAAGGATGGTGGTGTCAAGTACCCTGCAGATGTGCAATAAGGTTTTGGAATTTTCATTTTGGCACCCGGGGGGGGGGGGGGGGTCAAATGGGGGTCGAAAAACGTTACATTTATATAATTCAAGGTGTGTCTTTATTATATAGATTTTTTTGGTTCCGAAACTTGTTTTTCTAAACCTTCTACTTTCAGGAATTGAAATTGAGAAATGCAAATATTCTGTTTGTCAATTTTCACGTTTGTGCATTCCTGTATCGCTTCGAATATAATTACTCAATCATGAATAAAATGAGTGCTAATTAATCATAAAAATAAAAAAGTCTATATATTTAAAGAAGGCACACAACTGTTATCTTAATGCTTGGATTGCTTTGTTTTTCATCTATATGTAAGGAACCATATACTAGTAATTGTTTTTAAAAAATCCAGGTTAAATTTGCAAATCGAGTCTGATGTGTATGATGATACTCATATTAAGGTAAGTCACTCCTGAAATTTGTTATATCAAGGATTTTTTGAGAAGTATATTTTGGATAAGTACTCATAAAGTGTAACTCAAAATGTCAAAGAAAATAGGGGGTCAGTGTGCATCCTACTGATCTACGGTACATTTAAGTTGACCTTTTTGCACTTAAATTTCATCTCTTTGGTTAATTACTTTAACCCTTATTATATTTGATTAGATGTAAGCATGGCAATAATTATAATCTTATTTTACGTAAAATAGTTTGAATAATATTTATCATTAAACAAATCTTGCAAATTAATGCGCGTAAATTATTGTGTGACCTTTTTGCACTAAAAAATAACATATTTGGGGTATTTAAAAACTTAATAGGCAATAAAAAATTTTCTTATATCAAACTTTTTACGACTTGAGTGCTCATTAGTCACAAGTATCGAGTAGTTTAATATAATGAAAGAAAAAGGTAGGGTCAGTGATGTTAATTTTGAAATATTTGTCAAAATATGTGATTTTCAGGCAAAAAATGGTGTAAATTTGACCTTGACTTCTTTAATATATTTTCATTTTTTGGAAAAGTCTGTTGAGGGAAGGTGTAAAACTTAGTCTAAAAATATAAATTAAGACCTATATTAAATATTTTTAGCAATATCAAAACGTAAAATATTCTCCGAGTAAAAGTATGTGAGGCTAAATTTCCATTACATTAAATTTTATAAATGTGCAGATTTGCAGAATTTTCTGCTAAATATCCTTCCACCAAAAGAAATAGTCCCTCATAAATCTTTCTTCTTTGTAGATTTTTGAGCAGTTTTTTCATTGCATGTTTAAAAATTTACATTGTTGAATTTAAATATGTTATAAAAATTGAATTTTAATAAGTAGTTTTGAAGTAAAAGCTTCTGCGTGAACTTTTCTAAAAAGCTGACGAGTGACTTACCTTAATTTGACCAACACTGATTTTTGAAGTGGGTGAAAAATTAATTATCATAAATATGGACCATAAGTTTAAGATCACAACTTCACATCCTTTCTCTTTTGCACCTTTAAACACTCACTGGAGAGACAATTTTGCTAAATGCTGATACAAAAGTAATTTCATGTACAATACACAACATATTTCAGGAACTTTCTCTTATCAATCGTATTCTATACGTTAACTAGGAATAACTTAAACTTGTCCTGAAATGAATTTTGCATGGAATTTGAATATGTATCATTGAACCAACTAAAGTACATAATTTGATTGCATTTTGATGGGTAAAACTTGGTGAATAATGTCAATAGTCCAAGAAAATACGTTTCCACCCCATCACACTAATTATTTCTGCCATATTCTAATTCCTTCGTCAGTCAAGGGGTCTTTCCCAGATCTCTCCTCTGTAGAAATATGAATATCAAAATATGGGATTCACGGTGTTACCGAGTCCTTCGAACTATGGCACTCTTAAAACAATATATATACGTTTTCACCGATGTTGACCATACCAGCTCAAAAGGTTCCCGGTCCTGTAAACTCTCTTCCTTTTGAGAGTCAAGAGGACTATCCCAGATCCTTTCCCCTGAAAAATTATGAAGGTTTGAATATGGGATCCAGGATATTGTCCAGCTCCTTTAACTTTGTACTCTTAAAATAGTATTGTATGCGTTCATCCTAATTTTGACTGGGCAAGCTAAATTAATGTAGGTGTCAGGTCTTGTAAACTTAATTCCTTTTAAAAATTCGAAGACCTCTCCCAGACCCTCTCATGTGAAGATTTAAATTCATAAATATCGGATGCAGTCTGTTAGCCAGCTTCTCGAACTATTCTTTTAATAGTACTTGTACTGTTTTATATGGGGTTTTCCCGATTTTTACCGGGCTATGTTTATAGGTTTCTGGTCTTGTAAAGTCAGTTTCTTTTGACAGTCAATGGGTATCTCCCGGAACCCTCCCCAAGTAAAAATATGAAGGACTAGATATGGGATCCAGGATGTTAACCAGCTTCTGGTACAAGGTTTACCTATTAATTGTATATTATCCATTGTCGGGTTAGCTACATTGCTGTTGGGCCATCTTTCTTCTTTTCTAAGTGATCTCTTTGATTCGCTTCTATAACATGTACATGTATTATAAAAGCTCAAACAAGTTTTATATTAAAATATATTAAAATCTAAGTATCATGGAGGAGCGGATGCCTAAGTTGGTATTGAATTATAAATACATTGATAACTGATTGGTTGTTCTGATTTATGGATACAAGGGCAAAAATATCAGTTAGCCAGTGACTATTTATAACAGAAGTACCTTTTAATACAAAGATAGAAATGTTGCCCTAAATCAAGTTTTTGTGTAACTTGATACTTTAATGAAATTGTTGCGTGCGCCCTTTCTTGTAACAGATGAAACCTTTGTCTTTATATATGTAAGGGTTTGTTCTCGATATATCAGTTTTATTTTTTTGCGGATTTTTAAAAAGTTAGAAGATGATATCATATCTTCCGTTTGTGATGTTAATACTACACTTTGTCAATAATGTATATCACCCTGTGTCAGCAGGGACACTGTCAAACACACGGACAAAGCTTGACTCCATAAAGTCCTTGATCTACAGTAATGCTAAGGCTACGGTTACACTGGACTCTACAGCTCTGAAGGAACTGGTCAAACTCTCATCATCAGGTAGATTTTTAGAATTTCCATATAAATTTAAAAAAAAAAGCTTCCTTTATACTAACAGATTTGGGGAAAAAATCAGATGAGAAATGAATCTCTCTCTTATTAAACAATCCAAACTTTTTGTTTTTGTATACTTTTTTAACAGTATTTAAAAAAAAAGAAAGATATATGCGAAACATTTGAAAATCAATACCGGTCTTGTATAATAGGCTTTCCCCCCTAAAATCTTTTCCCCCGGAATTTCATTTTATATTTATACATTCTCGTTCAAACTCTACTGAAAAAATGAACATTGTTTTGTTTTAAGGATAGATGATGCAAACTTTTGTCAAATATTTTGAAAATAACAACTTAAGTCCTGTTTATATAAGTAGAATGAACAATGTTAAACGCACAAGTTTTAATTTTTCATTAAAAGTTTTACAATAATGGGGTCTAAGGAGATTTAATTTGACAAAAATATTTAGATTAATAAGAAATGTGGAAATTTGAACACAATAGTAAGTTTACAATTTCTTAATATTTTAGAAAGTTTATCATTGCCAACCAAAATAGGTCCAAAAATAAATACCAACCCAAACATCCATTGTTTGTTTGTTTCATCATATTTTGAGAATATTTACACTTCTTTGAATGCTATATATTTTGGGTAAGATTCCATGATTTGAAATATATGCTTAGAAAATTCTCACAACATTAAGCAAAAACACCCCTTAACCTTTTAAAAATTATGCTTGTCGTTTATCTTTTTTCATAAAAAAACATTGCAGCCGTGGTTTATGTTGACTCTATAATGAGGGGGGAAATCCTACTCTGAGAAAGAAAGAGGGGAAAATTTGGCTCTGGTGTGAGATTTCCCCTCAGGGGGAAATCCTACTCTAGAGTACAATTTCCGGGGGGGGGGAGATAGCTGTGGGGGAAATCCTACTCTACAACACCGGTGTTCCTTGAAAATGTTAAAAAAAATTGAGGAAATGTAGGTTATTCATTTTTTAATTGAAAGATATCTTTTGAAAAAGAAGTAGGCATTATATGATTCGCAATAATAATATCGTATTGTTAATGTTAAGTCATCTACTAAATCTACATCTAATTGATATCATCAACCAGTAATTTTATCTTGAAAAAGAGATACTGTATTAAAATACTATGTTTCGCACAAAAAGATATTGTCAAGTTTTACTTTATTTTACATGTCGGTAAAACAAAATATACGTATATTTTGAAATAATCGCAGTTTTTCTAGGAGAACCATAGTATATCCAGGTGTATAAAGATGATTTTGAAAAAAAAAAACAACCATAGATTTATATATTTGCAGGTTCTTCAAAACCAACGCGAGGTGTCAGTTTCTCTGTTTATGTTGGGGCCAAAATTCTTTCTGTTGGAAAAGGACAGACCGTTAAATATGATGGAATTCTGACAAATGATGGTAATGGATATGATGATAGAACAGGAGTATTCGTGTGTCCAGTGGCAGGAACTTATATGTTCGTTGTTGACAGTCTTTCTGTAGCGAACTGCCTTGCCATAAAAGTAAACAAGCAAACTGTAGCGAGTGTATATAGGGGACAGCCTGGAAAGGATACATTGGATCAGACGAGCAGAACAGTGATAGTGAAGCTAAAGCAGGGCGACCATGTCAAAGTGGAAGCAGTATTAAGTAGTAAAATCCATTACCGTGGATATTCAGGATTTACTGGAACATTGCTTTACTAATAAAGAATCCAATGACATTAAAGTAAATAATGTATACGGTCAAATAAATGAGTAAAAGTAATACAAAAATGTTTTAGAAAGAAATGTATATTAGTAAAATCCGAATGCACTAGATATCTTTGTTTGATTAAAAAAACATAATTTTTACATTCAAGAAATTGATGAAAAGTTTTGATAAGAGGAGTCCTGGGAAACAGGATTTTCAAACCATCACACCAACCATTTCTAGAATATAATCAGGTAGTTTGCTAGGTTCTGCACCACTTACACTTGATGATATCATCTAATAGAAGTTTATATGTCAAGGAAGATTAAATTAGGCTCAAAAGTGGATAAAAAGAAACCAATTGTAGTTTCATTTGAAATTAACACACTGCGTGGCACAGTGCTTAAAGTGTCTTCTCTAGAATCGCAGAGTAAGGAGTTAATCCTAACGTTGCGTGTTAGAATCCCAGTGTGGGACGCGGAGACTGGTCCTTCATATGAGACCTTATAAACCGAGGTCCCATCATGTTTTTCCCCTTCAGATATATTAATTTTATTATTTTGCAAATTGTTTAAATATTAGAACATGTTGAAAAATGTTGATACTACATTTTATGATTAATTATCACCCTAATGATTGCCCGAGGTGTTGATTTCAATTTATATTTACAGACAGCTGATTGGTAAATCTGAATCATAGGTACAATGGGAAACAAGTCAGTTAGCCAGCGACCAAATCTCTTGTAAAAAGTATGTAAATACAAATGCAAGATACAAAAAAATTAAACTCTGTTATCAAGCCTTTGTGTTACATGATAGTATGATGGACTTATTGCAAGAGACTATGCTGTAACATGTGCAACTTATATTGGTATAAATACGCGATGATGGTCTGATTGCTCTCTTAAGTTACTTCATGCATAGTGTTTAAAAAAAGAAAATGGGGGCATATCTTTAAGTTATGATGTTAATATGCTACATTTTGGGAATAATTATTACCCTGCATCAGGAGGGACACAGACAGACACACGGACAAAGCCTGACTCCATAAAGTCCTTGATCTACAGAAATGCTAAGGCTACAGTTACACTGGACTCTACAGCTCTGAAGGAACTGGTCAAACTCTCAACATCAGGTACATTTTAAACATTTAAATAAGAATGTTTGGACCTACTTAAGTGTTACAGTGACGGCTACATTTGTTTGTTTTTTAACGTCCCTTTTGAGATTTTTATCACTCATATGGAGACATCACTACTTGTTGTTGGAGGGTTCATAATTTATACCTTTACTTGGCACTCTCGGCTATCGATAGGGAGGGATCTTTTTCGTGCTAGTATATACTGCGACACAGGACCTTGATTTATTTGGTTTCATCCAAAGGAGCGGTCTCCACCAACCACATTAGAATTGGAGCCCGCGACGAAAGGATCAACTCTTTATTTCGCGACTCTAGAGCAGACGTTCTACCACTGCGCCACACGGGAGACCAGCTGCATTTGAAGTTCGAAATAAGGAAACAGAAGTCTGGAATCATAGAAAGGATGAATCTAATAAAATCTGAGAATCTGAATAATTTTCTCAGCTAAATGAAATTAAATATAATGGTAGTATGGTATAGGATAATATGATGAAATAATGTTATAAATTTATTTACATATGGAACAGATAGATGATAAAATGGAATAAATCTATTTACACATGGAACATATATATAAATCAGAGATGTATGACAAGCCCTTTTACTATTTATTCGTTAAATAACATTTTCTTTCAAATAAGAATATATCTCTATAGCATATATATATATATATATATATATTAGAGATATATCTTTTACAGTTAGAGATATATTTATACCTTAGAGAGATACTGTATAACGGGTAATTTTTACTGCTGCAAATTTTTACGAATTTTGGTCAGAAAAGGGTGATTTGAATTTTTATGCGTTAATTTTTTACGACTTGAACATGTCCGTAAAAATTAAAATCATCAGATGTAAAATTCTAGATCACTACTTTGAATGCGTTTACCTATAAATAATGTGTCCGAAAACCCGAAGTAAGAGAGAGAGAGAGAGAGAGAGAGAGAGAGAGAGAGAGAGAGAGAGAGAGAGAGAGAGAGTTCTTAAATAATTACTATATAAAAAATGCAACAAATTACATAATGTATATTTTTTAATTATGTACCTTTATATACACGGTGCCCTTCATTTATTCTCATGTTTTATAAAAAATTTGTTTAGGCACATCACGTGCACGTCTGGCATTTACCGAAAACAAAGAGAGACAACTCAAATTATCATAATTGAAGTGAAAGTATACATGTATTTTGTATTAAGAAGTCGAAGTTTTATTTAAAGGACATGAAACAGAAGAAAGTGTCAAAGATTGAAAACATGGGTATAATTGGACACGACAAGACAAGACTTTATTCTCATAAACTGTCCAAAGTATGGTTTCTTGGTCCAGACCCTGTGCATTTATCTAACACGTACAACCCAAACTCATCCGTACCGAGAAAATTGAAAATGCATGCAGGAAAGGATGACAGGCTTATTTTGCCCTCCAAAGTATGGTTTCTTGGTCCAGACCCTGTGTATTTATCTAACACGTACAACCATTTAGGAATTCTTCTTCAATCCAAACTCATCCATACCGAGAAAATTGAAAATGCATGCAGGAAAGGACGACAGGCTTATTTTGCCCTCCAAATACAAGAACACCTTAACCCAGTCACCATATCACGGCTTTACACCAGAATTGTACTCCCTTCGACCTTGTACGGATGTGAACTTTGGTCCAACTTACGTCAAAGGGATCTGCAAACCCTTAGCACTTTTCAACACTTCATATGCAAGCATGCTGTTGGTCTACCAAAAGACACCAGATCTGATATCTGTGAATCCTTACTTGGACTTTTTCCGATTTCGTCTGAAATTGACAAAAGAAAACTGCAATTCTTCGGCCGTTTGTGTGAACTGGATAGCAAAACTCTAACGAAACAGATTTTCCTCCATCGGCTTTTTTCTTACTTACAGTCTCCCGAACTTAAACATTATGGCTTTATCAATGACGTCATGGCTCTTTTGCATAAGTATGACCTCCATCAGTACCTCCTTATATACTTACAAGATGGTTACTTCCCCCCAAAATACATGTGGAAAAGATATGTTAAAGCAGCTGTCACCAACGTACATTTGGAATCAAGACGTCAACGGATGTACTCAGATCCGTCCTTTCTTCTCTTCAATACTATAACCGCAGGGAAATCTCCGCAAACTATCTGGGAAATTCCAAGCAACATCCACGAAATAGAAATTTGTAAATTTATTGTCAAGCTATGGACTCTTTCAGACTCTCCTCCAGAACCTTGTCCCCTCTGCGAAGGAAACTTCAGGAACATTTTCAAGCACATCTCTATAACCTGCTTGGGCACAACCGCCATCCGCGAAGCGTGGTGGGACACTCTGATCGAAAACTTTGATATCATATTAAATGCCGAACTTTCCGGTCTCAGTCCACGTGACCTATACCTTTTTCTGCTAGGTGCTAGATTAATCTCAAGCACCTTATCTCATTTTGATGGTCCCAGCTTACATATGTTGAATTTTCGTTTCCTAAGGGATACTGCAGCATGGTTTAACAGACAGTTGCGTAGGAGAACAGAGTGACCTGTCTATACTTACTGTTAGCAACCTAGTTTTTTTTTCCTACCTTGTATATCGCTCTAGTCAGCAACCTTGTTCTTTCCTAATGTAATATAATGTACACATTTATTTTTTTTTCCTCCTAATTCATATGTATTTATTTTTTCTATTTTCCTTTTGTAATGTTTATATGATTTGAAATGTTCATATTCATGCAATCTCCTACGGGGGAAATAAAGATAGAATGAATGAATAGATCACTACTTTGAATGCGTTTACCTATAAATAATGTGTCCGAAAACCCGAAGTAAGAGAGAGAGAGAGAGAGAGAGAGAGAGAGAGTTCTTAAATAATTACTATATAAAAAATGCAACAAATTACATAATGTATATTTTTTAATTATGTACCTTTATATACACGGTGCCCTTCATTTATTCTCATGTTTTATAAAAAATTTGTTTAGGCACATCACGTGCACGTCTGGCATTTACCGAAAACAAAGAGAGACAACTCAAATTATCATAATTGAAGTGAAAGTATACATGTATTGTGTATTAAGAAGTCGAAGTTTTATTTAAAGGACATGAAACAGAAGAAAGTGTCAAAGATTGAAAACATGGGTATAATTGGACAAGACAAGACAAGACTTTATTCTCATAAACTGTACAAAACAGTATAGAGAGGATATAACACAAAATATTTACAATTAATTAATTAAGCATGCGTGAGACAAAGAAAAAAAAGAAAAAAAAATGACAATGTCACAGACCAAGAGAGCCGACTCTCTCTATTATAGTTCCAATAAATTTACATAACTTAATTAATTTTTCCCTGCTGTTCAAATTAAATAGTTGGTCAAACTTAAAAACATTAGGATTTGTGTAATAATACTTGGGCAATAGATTTAAGGACATTGGCAACGTTTTTGGCTTTCGTATAGAATTTTTCAAGATTTTTTGAACAGGTTTAATGGTACCAAACATGTTCAATTCAGGTCCTTTTTACCCATCAAGCCAGCCTTCCTTTATAGATTTTGTCAAATCAATGTTTTTACAATTTTCAATGCATTTCCTATGTAAAATGTTGATAAAATGGGCCTATATTATTTTTAACCATACGTTTTCTCTACAACCCATTTATTTTATAAGGTTTATACATAAAACACATTGTTGAAACCTTATTTCCGATGACATGCATATAATTTGGCTGAAAATGCGAATATTGAAACAAAACACTGAAATACCGGCACTGTTCTTCAATTTTGAGTTACTTCCCTTTACGGTAATAACATCTAATCAATATTCATAATGATCAAGAGAGTGGTTGTTTGTTTCTATTCTATAATTTACTTAATTGGAAACGAACTGTCAAAAAACATTTTTGCAAGGATTTATAGT